TCCCCTCAGCAGCTCCGTGAGTGGTACACTGCACGCCAGCGGGGAGGGGGTTTTGGTCCGTGCACCTACGTCCTGCGCACCGGCGACCGTGCGGGTGAGCAGTGTGGGGGTGCGCACCCCACCCAGTGCTGCTTTGGCCGCCTGACGGACGCGTGGCATCACCAGTTCCCTGAGGCCACAGAGATCCCTCGCTGGGGCGAGCTGTCTAGGGCGGGAGTTGCCATCTATGATCTTGATTTTGATGCTATTCTTTCTGCCATGTATGCTGTGACTATTAGTGATGAGGGTGACTGTTACCGGTGTTTCCCGCCCGATCCGGGCATTGAGACTGCTGCTCTAGGTACTGGTGAGGCTGCTGCCCTAGGTGCTTGCGACGCTGCTGCTCTTGGTGCTAGTGTGTCTGCGTCCACAGGTACTGGTGAGTCTGCGCTCTCAGGTACTGCGTCGGCTTCGGCCTCCCTCACCTTCACCCTTGACTCTGGGGCTTCTCGCTCCTTCTTTCGGGACCGCACCACACTCACGCCGCTTAGTCGGCCGGTTGCGGTGTCTCTTGCTGACCCCTCTGTGGGTCCTGTCCTGTCTCACTCCTGTGTCCGGCGGCTCCCTCTGGCACCCTGTCTGGTCTCTACCTCCCCTCGTTCTCTACGAACTTGGTGAGTGGTGCTGACCTACAGGATGGGGGAGTGCACCAGTTCACTCCTGCGCGTCAGCGAGTGACGCACTGCACAGAGGCTCGGACAGGCCGACACTTGGCTACGTTTACACGTCAGCCGGGGTCGAGCCTGTACACACTGACCACTGCGTCTCCTCCAGTTGCTGAGTCTAGTAGGGTAGCTGCGTCGGGTCAGGTGTTTGCTGTAGCGTCCAGGTCTGGTCCTGAGTCTGCCCCCTGTTCGTGTCGTCTCCTGTCTCACGAGACTCTCCTCTGGCACCACCGCCTTGGTCACCCCTCTCTGCTTCGTCTCAGAGGCATGGCCTCTCGTCTTCTTGTGTCTGGTCTCCCCCGGTCCCTCCCTCCCATTCCTCAGGGGCCTGGCCCTACCTGTGTCCCCTGTGTCGTGGGGCGCCAACGGGCTGCCCCTCACTCCTCCCAGTTTCCTCCGACAGAGGCCCCACTGCAGACGCTTTACATGGACGTGTGGGGCCCAGCCCGCGTCCGTGGATAGGGTCACGAGCGCTACTTCCTGCTCGTTGTTGACGACTACTCGCGTTACACCGTGGTCTTCCCCTTGCGCAGCAAGGGTGATGTCACTGAGGTGCTGATCGACTGGATCCGCGCAGCTCGTCTCCAGCTCAGGCAGAGCTTTGGCTCGGACTTTCCTGTTCTGCGTCTGCACTCGGACAAAGGCAAAGAGTTTTCCTCTGGCCTTCTGAGAGCCTACTGTCGCGCACGAGGCATCCGTCAGACCTTCACGCTTCCGGACTCTCCGCAGCAGAATGGGATCGCTGAGCGCCGCATTGGCATGGTCATAGACATCAGTCGTACGTCTATGATGCATGCGGCTGCCCCCCATTTTCTGTGGCCGTTTGCGGTGAGTTACGCGGCGCATCAGATCAACCTTCACCCCAGGGTCTCAAGGCCGGAGACCTCCCCAGCCTTCATGTGGACGGGGAAGGTTGGCGATGCGTCGGCGTTCCGTGTCTGGGGATCTCGGGCGTTTGTCCGCGACTTGTCTGCGGACAAGCTGTCTCCTCGTGCTGCTCCTTGCGTCTTCCTGGGGTTCCCCCCTGACGCACCTGGGTGGCAGTTCTACCACCCCACCTCTCGACGTGTTCTGTCCTCCCAGGACGTCACGTTTGACGAGTCGGTCCCCTACTACCGCCTCTTCCCCTACCGCACTCCGTCCCTCCCCCCGCCCCCGCTCTTCCTTGTACCAGGTCCCCCCCCGGTAGACCCCCTCCCCCCTCAGGGTCCTGCCCCTTCAGGTGTGTCCCAGGTAGACGCAGTCGAGCCTGTCGAGGTTACTGGTGACTCTGGTGCTGTTGAGGGTGCTGACCCTGAGGGTGCTGAGCGTGTGGGTGCTACTCCTGGGGGTGCTGAGCCTGGGGGTGCTGAGCTTGGGGGTGCTAAGCCTGGGGGTGCCGAGCCTGGGGGTGCTGAGTCTAGGGGTGCTGAGCCTGGGGGTGCTGTGCCTAAGGGTTCTGAGCCTGGGGGTGCTGTGCCTGGGATTACTACGCCTGGAGGTGTGGAGCCTGCGGGAGCTGGACCTGTTTCTGTGGCGTCTGGAGGTTCTCCGGGTGCTTCGTCTCGGCGGGAGCCTCTCTCTTCACAGGAGCTTCGCGAGTGGTTTGCCCGGCGCTGGAGGCGTGCTGCTGGAGCTGGAGGTTCTTCGGCTTCTGAGGGTGCTGGTGTCGCGGGTCCCGGAGGTGCTCGTACTGGGAGTACTGGAGCTGCTGGGCCTGCGGGTACGACTAGAGCTGGTGCTGCTGAGGGTGTTGGCGCTGAGACTACTGCTGGTGGTCCTGCTGAGGGTACTCCTGGTGCTGCTGGAGGTTCTGGAGCTGCTGGAGGTGCTGCTGGAGCGGGTGCTCCTGCTGGGGGTACTGGTGTTGTCCCTGCTGTGTCTAGCGTCGCCGCGCGGCCTCGACCGTACTTCGTTCCACTCCTTCAGCAGGTTCTTGGTCTTCCGCCTTCTACTGGTCCTCCTCCTTCTTTAGAGTGTCCACAGCCTGTACCGTCACAGTTACAGCTACAGCCTGCCTCCCCTATGCCTGCTCCTTCTCCCTACGCTGGTCCTACTGGAGGTCTTGCTGAGCGTCGTGAGCCTGCGTCTCGCCCTGCGTCGCCTGTCCGTGCTGCTCGCACTAGTGGTCGTGGTTCGCGTCAGCGTCCTCCTCCTGTCCCTGGCACGCACCGGATGTCTCTGCGTCCGTCCACTGCTCCTCTGCGTGCCCCTTTGCCTTCTCCTCCTGAGTCCTCTCTTCCTGCTCTTGTCGACCCGGAGTCGGACTCTCTTCGTGCTGCCAGTCCTACTGTCACGGGTCTCCTTGCTACTGTCGTCAGTGACCTCTCCTTTGAGTCCACTGCTACGTCTGCCCTAGTTGCTGAGCTCGTCAACTTTGTTGCTCGCTGTCGCCTAGACTACGCTGCTAGTCTTGTCGGTGAGTCTGAGTCTGTCTGTCCTCCGTCCGTCGGGGGTGAGTGTGCCCTTGGCATGGACGTCCTTGAGGACAGGCAGGAGGAGTTCCAGTGCTTGGCCGCTGCTTCACCTCATCTCGTGTCCGTACTGCTTACCCTTGAGGGAGACCCGGATGCACTTGACATCCCGACTCCGCGCTCTTACGCGGAGGCAATAGAGGGTCCCTACTCTTCTCAGTGGCAGGCAGGTATGGATGCAGAGATGGCTTCCTGGAAGTCCACAGGCACCTACGTTGACGCTGTCCCCCCTCCTGGGGCGAACATCGTCAGTGGCATGTGGATTTTTAGGGTGAAGCGGCCGCCGGGTGTGAAAGGAGTAAGCAGGAATGAATGAACTAGAAGTGAAAAGAGTACAAGTAGTAAACCCTAGAATTGTGTACCCCCTATAGGCTAACCCACTGTAGCCTACACAAGTATAACATATATAATGTTTGACACACCCCCATAGGCAAAGTGGGGGAGAACAAGGGGTCACAAGACCAGTCAAGCAAAGCAAAGCAAGCTCAGGGTGGATCACAAAGTCACCACACAGTCCGAGCACAAGAGCAGGGCCAGAGGCCAGTTCACATGCAGGAGTACAGACATATATATAAAACTAGACAAGCAAGAGCAGGTATATATATATGTCACAGTACAAGTAAAGTCAAGAGGAGAGCAAGTGAGGCAAGACAGACACAAGACCCAGCTGGGTGCAAAAGCGCTGATGATCACAAGGCGCGAGTGCCTTGGTGAACACATCAGCAGTGTTGGCCTCAGAGGCCACGTACGCAAGTCGCAACTGACCACGCTGCTGCAGCTCACGAGCAAGGAAGTAGCGGAGAGCAATGTGCTTCGTTCTGTGCTCCAAGCGCTGCTCTCGACACAAGGCCAGCATAGCCTTGTTGTCTACGTACAGCACTGGAGGAGAACGAGGCGGCTCTCCAAGGTCAGTCAGCAGGTAGGTGAGCCAGCGAAGCTCCTGTGCAGCCATGGCCCCGGCGTAGATCTCAGCCTCACAACTGGAGCCGAGAACCGAAGACGAGCGAGTAGACCGCCACGAGACAGAGCCGGAACCAAGGCTGAAGGTGTAACCCTGTGACGACCGCTGCGTAGCCTGGTCGTCAGCCCAAGAAGCGTCCGCGTGGCCGGTAAGGACCACTGGACTCCGCCCTCCAAGCACTAGCCCCATGCCCGACGTACTGCACAGGTAGCGCAATACCCTCTTAGCTGCAGCCATGTGCTCCGGTCTGTGTCTCCCAGGAGCAACATAGCGTGCAAGAATGCCCAGAGGGTATGCAAGGTCAGGTCGTGTGCAGGTCATCAGGTACATGAGGCAGCCAACAAGCTCTGCATACGGACCACTCGACTCTACGGACTCATCCGAAGGCAGAGCTGAGAGTGAGTGGCGAGTAGGCAGAGGAGTGGCCTGAGGCGAGGAGTACGTGAAGCCGAAGCGCTGAAGGACCTGCTGCACCATGTGTGACTGAGTCAAGGTAATGGTGCGGCGTGCTCTGTCCCGAGTGATCTGCAAGCCAAGGTAGCTGCGCAGTTCACCCAGGTCTGTGCACGTGTGTCTCTTCAGCAGCTCGGACTTCACGTAGGCGAGTCCAGCAGTGTCCGCTGTGGCAAAGACCAAGTCGTCGACGTACACGAGGATGTAGAACGGCGGCAGGGAAGTGTCGGTGCGAAGAAACAGCGACGGGTCAGCAGTAGAAGGAGCAAACCCAAGAGCCGCAAGCGTAGTCCTCAGTGTGTCGTGCCACTCACGCGGTGCCTGGCGGAGACCGTAGACTGGCCGTCAGAGGCTCCACTGGGTGCCAGGAGGGAAAGTCCCAGTGAAGCCAGGTGGACGGCGAAGCCAGATCTCCTCGTGCAGGCTACCCTACAAGAACGCAGTGCTGAAGTCGAGAGAGTGAAGCTCGTAGTCGCGCTGAGCGGCTATGTGCAGCAGCACCCGAAGAGTAGTCATCTTCGGGGTGGGAGAGAAGGTCTGAAAGTAGTCAACTCCCTGCCGCTGACTGAAGCCACGAGCAACGTACCGTGCCTTGAAGACAGGTGGAGAGCCCGGCGGCCGCTTCACCCTGAAGATCCACATGCCACTGACGATGTTCGCCCCAGGAGGGGGAACCGCGTCAACGTAGGTGCCTGTGGACTTCCAGGAAGCCATCTCTGCATCCATAGCTGCCTGCCACTGAGAGGAGTAGGGACCCTCTACGGCCTCCGCGTAAGAACGCGGAGTCGGGATGTCTAGTGCATCCGGGTCTCCCTCAGGGGCAAGCAGTACAGACGCGAGATGAGGTGAAGCAGCCGCTAGACACTGTAACTCCTCCTGCCTGTCCTCTAGGACGTCCGTGCTAAGAGCACACTCACCCCCGACGGACGGAGGACAGACAGACGCAGACTCAGCAACAAGACTAGCAGCGTAGTCGAGACGACAGCGAGCAGCAAAGTCGACGAGCTCAGCGACTAGAGCAGACGCAGCAGTGGACTCAAAAGAGGGGTCAGTGACGACAGTAGCAAGCAGACGCGTGACAGTAGGACTGGCAGCACGAAGAGAGTCCGACTCAGGGTCGGCAAGCGCAGGAAGAGAGGACTCAGGAGGAGAAGGCAAAGGGGCACGCAGAGGAGCAGTGGACGGACGCAGAGACATCCGGTGCGTGCCAGGAACAGGAGGAGGACGCTGACGCGAACTGCGACCACTAGCGCGAGCAGCACGAACAGGCGACGCGGGACGAGACGCAGGCTCACGACGCTCAGCAAGACCTCCAGTAGGACCAGTGTAAGGAGAGGGAGCAGGCAGTGGAGAGGAAGGCTCCAGCAGGGACTGTGACTGGACAGGCGGTGAACCCTCTACTGGAGGAGAAAGACCAAGAACCTGCTGCAGGAGCGGAACGAAGTACGGCCGAGGCCGCGCGGCGGCTCCAGACTCAGCAGGGACAGCACCAGCACCCTTAGCGACAGCACCAGCGCCACCCACACCTCCAGCGGTAGGACCAACAGCAGCAGGCTCAGCACGAACGCCCTCAGCAGCTCCAGCTCCAGGAGGACCCGCAGGTCCAGCAGCTCCGGGACCGGCAGCACCCGCACCCTCGACGGTCGAAGAAGCTCCAGCTCCAGCTCCAACAGCACCTCCAGACTCAGCAGCACGCCTCCAGCGGCGAGCGAACCACTCACGCAGCTCCTCTGGAGAGAGGGGCTCCCGGCGAGACGCAGCAGCAGGAGAAACCCCAGGCTCAGCAGCTCCAGACGCAGCACCCCCAGGCTCAGCAGCTCCCAGCTCAGCACCCCCAGGCTCAGCAGCTCCCGACCCAGCACCCCCAGGCCCAGCACCTCCAGGCACAGCACCCCCAGGCTCCGCACCCACCGCAGTAGCACCCTCAGGCCCAGCACCCCCAGCAGTAGCACCCCCAGGCTCAGCACCCCCGCGCACAGCACCCCCAGAGTCAGCACCCCCAGGCTCAGCACCCGCAGCAGCACCAGAGTCACCAGTAACCTCGACCGGGTCAACGGCGTCTACCTGGAACACACCTGAGGGGGCAGGAACCTGAGGGGGGAGGGGGTCTACCGGGGGGGGAACCGGCACAAGGAAGTCCGGGGGAGGGGGGAGGGAAGGAGTGCGGTAGGGGAAGAGACGGTAGAAGGGGACTGACTCGTCGAACGTAACGTCCTGGGAGGACAGAACACGACGAGAGGAGGGGTGGTAAAACTGCCACCCTGGGGCGTCAGTGGGGAAGCCAAGGAAGACACAGGGAGCAGCACGAGGGGACAGCTTGTCCGCAGACAAGTCGCGGACAAACGCCCGAGATCCCCAGACACGGAACACAGACGCATCGCCAACCTTCCCCGTCCACAGCAAGACTGGGGACATCGCAGGCCGAGAGACCCGGGGGTGAAGGTTGAGCTGATGCGCCGCGTACCTCACCGCAAACGGCCACAGAAAATGGGGGGCAGCCGCATGCATCATGGACGTACGAGCGACATCCATGACCATGCCAATGCGGCGCTCAGCAATCCCATTTTGCTGTGGTGAGTCCGGAAGCGTGAAGGTCTGGCGGATCCCCCGTGCACGACAGTAGTCTCGCAGAAGGCGAGAAGAGAACTCTCCGCCTCTGTCAGAGTGCAGACGCAGAACAGGAAAGTCCGAGCCGAAGCTCTTCCTGAGCTGGAGACGAGCCTCGCGGATCCAGTCGATCAGCACCTCAGTGACAGCACCCTTGCTGCGCAAGGGGAGGACTGTGGTGTAACGCGAGTAGTCGTCAACCACCAACAGGAAGTAGCGCTCGTAACCCTGCCCACGGACGGGGGCTGGGCCCCACACATCCATGTGAAGCGTCTGCAGGGGAGCCTCTGTCGGGGGGAAGTGGGAGGAGTGAGGAGTAGCCCGGAGGCGACCCTCGACACAGGGGACACAGGAAGGTCCTGGCCCGGAGGGGAGAGGAGGGAGAGACTGGGGAAGACCAGAGACAAGGACACGGGAAGCCATGCTCCGAAGACGGGGCAAGGAGGGGTGGCCAAGACGGTGGTGCCACAGGAGAGTCTCGTGAGACAGGAGGCGACAAGAACAGGGGGCAGACTCAGGACCTGACCGGGACGCAGCAGCAAGTACCTGACCCGACGCAGCCACCTGACCAGACGCAGGGACAGGAGGAGACTCAACGGTCAGGGTGTAGAGACTCGACCCCGGCCGACGCGAGAACGTGGCCAGGTGTCGGCCCGTGCGTGCCTCCGTGCAGTGGGTCACCCGCTGACTCGCAGGAGTGAACTGGTGAACACCTCCATCCTGCAGGTCCGCTCCACTCACCAAGTTCGTGGAGAACGAGGGAAGGTACAGACCCGACAGGGTGCCCGAAGGGGCAGCCGGACACGGGAGGACAGTGGAGAAGTGAGACAGGACAGGACCTCCAGAGGGGTCAGCAAGGGAGACTGCAACCGGCCGGCCGAGCGGCGTAAGGGTAGTGCGGTCTCGAAAGAAGGAGCGAGAAGCTCCGGAGTCAAGTGTGAAAGTGAGGGAGGACGAGGACGACGCAGTACCTGAGAGCGCAGTCTCACCAGTACCTGAGAGCGCAGACGCACTGGCACCTAGAGCAGCAGCCTCACAAGCACCTAGCGCAGCAGTACCAATGCCCGGGTCGGGCTGGAAACAACGGTAACCCTCATTCTCCTCACTATAATCCACAACATACATAGCAGTAAGGATAGCATCAAAATCAAGATCAAAGATCGCTACACCAGCCCTGAGAAGCTCATCCCAGCGAGGGATCTCACTAGCCCCAGGGAACTGCTGACGCCAGGCGTCCGTCAGGCGGCCAAAGCAGCGCTGGGTGGCGTGGGCACCCCCACACTGCTCACCCGCGCGGTCGCCGGAACGAAGAACGTAGGTGCAGGGACCAGTACCCCCACCCCTCTGACGCCCAGCGTACCACTCACGAAGCTGCTGAGGCGAAGGGATGTCCCGCGAGCGCTGCTGCTGCTGCCGGTGCGAGCGCTGGCCACCACCACCGCCGCTACGCTGCTGGGTACCACCCCGACCAGCTCCACCTCCTCCACCACCACTGCCTCCTCCGCTGCCGCCTCCACCGCCTCCACCTCCGCCGCCTCCACCTCCGCCGCTGCCTCCACCACCACCGCTGGCACCACCACCACCGTCTCCGCCGCTGCTGCCACCACCACCACCACCACCCCCGCCACTAGTCCCGCCGCCACCCCCCACTCCCTCCGCCGCCACCGCCGCCACCGCCACCGCCCCCTCCAGCTCCACCCGCGCCCTTGCCCCCCTTGCCCTTGCTGGAGCGACGTCTCCCACTAGGGGCAGACGCCGCGCCGACCGACTCAAGACCAAGCAGGTCGGCAGCAGCAGCAGAGGCAACAGAGGGCAGCAAGGGGGAAGGAGAGCACCCCTCAAAGATGGGGGTGCGAGGGTCACCACGAGAAGCACCTACAGCGACTATGCTCTTCTCCGCTGCAAGGAGGGCCTTCTCGAGGAGGTCGACGATGAGGGTGGTGGGACAGACTGCGAGAAAGTGGTCCCTGACGACGCGAAGGGAGTCAGGGAGGCGCGCGACTACGTAGTAGAGAGCGATGTACATGGGGGGGGGGTTCTTAGCGCTGAACTCAGCAGGAAGGGCGGCGCGGTAGCGAGTGTCACTAGTGCGGAGGTGCGTAATGAGGTCAGCGACAGTGGGAAAGGCAGAGAGGTCAGGAAAGAGGTAGGGAAGCATGAGACGGCTCAGTGCAGCAGTGGCAGGGGAGGAGTAGCGCGCAACATGAATGAATGAACTAGAAGTGAAAAGAGTACAAGTAGTAAACCCTAGAATTGTGTACCCCCTATAGGCTAACCCACTGTAGCCTACACAAGTATAACATATATAATGTTTGACACCGGGTTCTCCGCCTGTCTTCAAGGCACGGTACGTAGCTCGTGGCTTTAGTCAGCGGCAGGGAGTTGACTACTTTCAGACCTTCTCTCCCACCTCGAAGATGACCACTCTTCGGGTACTACTGCACGTTGCTGCTCACCGTGACTACGAGCTGCACTCTCTCGACTTCAGCACAGCTTTCTTGCAGTGCAGCCTGCACGAGGAGATCTGGCTGCGCCGCCCACTTGGCTTCACTGGGTCGTTCCCTCCTGGTACCAAGTGGAGTCTCCGGCGTCCAGTCTACGGTCTCCGCCAGGCGCCCCGTGAGTGGCACGACACACTGAGGACTACACTTGCGGCTCTTGGGTTTGCTCCTTCTACTGCTGACCCGTCGCTGTTTCTGCGCACCGACACCTCTCTGCCGCCTTTCTACATCCTCGTGTACGTCGACGACTTGGTCTTTGCCACTGCTAACACTGCTGGACTCGCCTACGTGAAGTCCGAGCTGCAGAAGAGACACACGTGCACACACATGGTGCAGCAGGTCCTTCAGCGCTTCGGCTTCACGTACTCCTCGCCTCAGGCCACTCCTCTGTCTACTCGCCACTCACTCTCAGCTCTGCCTTCGGATGAGTCCGTAGAGTCGAGTGGCCCATATCCAGAGCTTGTTGGCTGCCTCATGTACCTGATGACCCGCACACGACCTGACCTTGCATACCCTCTTAGCATTCTTGCACGCTATGTTGCTCCTGGGAGACACCGACCAGAGCACATGGGTGTAGCGAAGAGGGTGTTGCGCTACTTGTGCAGTACGTCGGGCATGGGGCTAGTGCTTGGAGGGCGGAGTCCAGTGGTCCTCACTGGGCACGCAGACGCTTCTTGGGCTGACGACCAGGCTACGCAGCGGTCGTCACAGGGTTACACCTTCAGCATTGGTTCCGGCTCTGTTTCGTGGCAGGCTACTCGCTCGTCTTCTGTTCTCGGCTCCAGTTGTGAGGCTGAGATCTACGCAGGGGCCATGGCTGCACAGGAGCTTCGCTGGCTCACCTACCTGCTGACTGACCTCGGAGAGCTGCCTCGTTCTCCTCCAGTTCTGTACGTAGACAACAAGGCCATGCCGGCCTTGTGTCGAGAACAGCGACTGGAGCACAGTTTGAGAGTACGTCGGCTTATACTTGTTATTCATGCTTGCTATTATTTCCTTACGCTATTCCTAGCTTAGGATTAGTTTCTGGATGCATGAATTGCTTGATTTCCTAGGTTCGTTGCTATACTATAGTTATTATAGTTATAGGCACCGAACCAGGTTACATGCATCGAACTCAAGCTATTCGGTCGCCACCGAATTGCTTTCTACCAAGTTCGAGAAGGTTCTGTTCGGGACGTTTCGCAACCCTCAGAACATTCGCGTAACACCTGGGTAACTGGCCTTGTGTCGAGCCTATATATAGCCTCGTATTGTACCCAGGTGGATCATTCAATTCAAACTCTCTTTTCTGAGCTCGATCCTAGATCCTCACACTTGGTAATCAGAGCCTGTTCGAAGCGAAGTTTTTCTACCGCTAAAACCTAGCTTTTAAAACCGCGGGGGCGACGACGGAAAGCGCCGATTTCGGGTACGTAAACCAGTTTCGCGCTATTTTTTAACGTCCCACTCGAACCGGTTTTCGAACACTCCTCAGGTCCAGTGGCGAAAAAGTTGTAATTTCGATGAAGGGAGAATTACGCGACCTACAGAATTAACACTCGTCAATTCTACAGTCGATTCGACTCACAGTAAGATGACCAGCGGCTAGAATTCAAATTTTTTTGTCGCAAATCTTCCTGTAAATCGCCAAATGGAGGAAAACGGTGATAATACCGTACGAAAAATTACGGAGTTACACACCGGCCTGGACCAGACGCGAGAGGCACTCCAGAGAATAGAGGAGCTTCTCGCGAACCAGTTGGTAGCCGCCACAGCAGCAGCGAACGTAGCAGCGAATGCAGCAGCGACGCCAGCAGCAGCAGCAGCGACACCGACTCTTCACCCAGCAGCAGCGGCAGCAGCTACAGTGAATCTTGAGGCGGCACGTCCGAAGCTACCGGAGACGTTCAATCCGAATGCGAGAGACACTGACGTTCGTCGATTCATTGCGACTCTCGAAATTTACTTCGAGGCCGTTGGCTGTACGACCCCGACACACGATGCAATGCGGATTCGGCTCGCAGCGACACTGTTACGAGGCCCGGCGCTCGAGTGGATTTACAACAGCAATAAGATCCGAGGCGAGGGGTCATGGACGCAGTTTCGGGAAGCTTTAATTCAACGCTTCGAACCAATCAACTCCAGCTACATGGCGCGGCAGCAGATTCATCGGCATAAACAGTTCGGCAGTGTAACACAGTACACGCAGCAGATGGAGAGCCTCTTCAACCGAATTACCGACCTGAGCGAAGGGGAAAAAATCCAAGCGTATACTGAAGGACTAAAGATGGAAGTCCGCCAACAAGTGATTGCCGCGAACTACAACAACTACCACGACATGGTGTGTGCAGCAGAGAGATTCGATGCGCTGATGCGATGTGAGCCCGAGACACGACGCCACGTGCCGAACCTGATGAGATAGAGGCGAGGAATGAGTGCACTATGAAATGAAACGAGTACAAGTACCAACCCTAATTGGGTTGTACCCCCTATGGGCTACCCCACTACAGCCTAAATATATGCATCAGTAATATAATCATCTGACACACCCCCATAGGCAAAGTGGGGGAGAGCAAGGGGTCACAAGACCAGTCAAGCAAAGCAAAGCAAGCTTAGGGTGGATCTCAAGGATACCACACAAATTCCGAGCACAAGGTCAAGGCCACAAGGCCAGTTCACATGCAGCAGAGCATATATATATAACAGTGCTAAACAAGCAAGAGCAAGGATATATATATGCAGCAGTACAAGCAAGGTCAAGAGGTAAGCAAGTGAGGCCTAGTGGGCACAAGGCCTAGCAGAGTGCAAAAGCGCTGATGGTCACGAGGCGGAAGTGCCTTGGTGAACACATCAGCACTGTTGGCCTCAGTGGCCACGAAACGCAGGCGAAGGTGACCACGCTGCTGCAGCTCTCGAGCAAGGAAGTAGCGTAGAGCAATGTGCTTCGTCCTGTGCTCCAGTCTGTGCTCCTCACACAAGGCAATGGTTGCCTTGTTGTCGACGTAAAGCACTGGAGGAGAACGAGGCCGCTCTCCAAGGTCAGTCAGCAGGTAGGTGAGCCAGGAAGCTCCTGGGCAGCCATGGCCGTGGCGTAGATCTCAGCCTCACAGCTGGAGCTGAGAACCGAAGAAGAGCGAGTAGAGCGCCAAGAGACAGAGCCAGAGCCAAGACTGAAGGTGTAACCCTGAGACGACCTCTGAGTAGCCTGGTCGTCAGCCCAAGAAGCGTCTGAGTGCCCAGTGAGCACAGGCCGCTCACGCCCTCCAAGCACTAGCCCCATGCCCGACGTACTGCACAAGTAGCGCAACACCCTCTTAGCTGCATCCATGTGCTCCTTTCGGTGACGGCCGGGAGCAACATAGCGTGCTAAGATGCTGAGAGGGTATGCGAGGTCAGGTCGAGTGCAAGTCATCAGGTACATGAGGCAGCCCACAAGCTCTGGATACGGACCACTCGACTCTACGGACTCATCCGAAGGCAGAGCTGAGAGCGAGTGTCCCGTAGGCAGAGGAGTGGACTGAGGCGAGGAGTACGTGAAGCCGAAGCGCTGAAGGACCTGCTGCACCATGTGTGACTGGGTCAGGGTAATGGTGCGGCGTGCTCTGTCCCGGGTGATCCGCAGGCCCAGATAGCTTGTCAGTTCACCCAGGTCTGTGCACGTGTGTCTCTTCTGCAGCTCGGACTTCACGTGGGCGAGTGCGGCAGTGTCCGCAGTGGCAAAGACCAAGTCGTCGACGTACACGAGGATGTAGAAAGGCGGCAGCGAGGTGTCGGTGCGCAGAAACAGCGACGGGTCAGCAGTAGAAGGAGCAAACCCAAGAGCCGCAAGTGTAGTCCTCAGTGTGTCGTGCCACTCACGCGGCGCCTGGCGGAGACCGTAGACTGGCCGCCGGAGGCTCCACTGGGTACCAGGAGGGAACGACCCAGTGAAGCCAGGAGGGCGGCGCAGCCAGATCTCCTCTTGCAGGCGGCCCTGCAGGAAAGCAGTGCTGAATTCAAGAGAGTGTAGCTCGTAGTCACGCTGAGCAGCGACGTGCAGTAGAACCCGAAGAGTGGTCATCTTCGGGGTCGGGGAGAAGGTCTGAAAGAAGTCAACTCCCTGTCGCTGACTGAAGCCACGAGCCACGTAGCGCGCCTTGAAGACAGGCGGAGAACCCGGCGGCCGCTTCACCCTGAAGATCCACATGCCACTGACAATGTTCGCCCCAGGAGGGGGAACAGCGTCAACGTAGGTGCCTGTGGACTTCCAGGAAGCCATCTCTGCGTCCATGGCTGACTGCCACTGAGAGGAGTAGGGACCGGCCATCGCCTCTGCGTAAGAGCGTGGGGTCGGGATGTCTAGAGCATCCGGGTCTCCCTCAGGGGCAACAAGCATGGACACGAGATGGGGCAAAGCGGCGGCAAAGCACTGGAACTCCTCCTGCCTGTCCTCAAGGACGTCCGTGCCAAGAGCACAGTCACCCCCGACGGACGGAGGACAGGCAGACGCAGACGCAGCAGACGCAGACTCAGCAGACTCAGCAACAAGACTGGCAGCGTAGTCCAGACGACACGCAGCAGCAAAGTCGACCAGCTCAGCAACTAGGGCAGACGCAGCAGCGGACTCAAAGGAAGGGTCAGTGACAAGAGAAGCAAGAAGACGCGTGACAGTAGAACTGGCAGCACGGTGAGAGTCCGACTCCGGGTCGGCAAGTGTAGGAAGAGAAGACTGAGGAGGAGAAGGCAAAGGGGCACGCAGAGGAGCAGTGGACGGACTTAGAGACATCTGGTGCGTGCCAGGGACAAGAGGAGGACGCTGACGCGAACCGCGACCACTAGGGCGAGCAGCTCGGACTGGCGACGCAGGGCGGGACGCAGGCTCACGACGCTCAGCAAGACCTCCAGTAGGACCAGCGTAGGGAGAAGGAGAAGGCAGGGGAGAGGCGGGCTGTAACTGTGACTGTGACGGGACGGGCTGCGGACACTCTACGGGAGGAGAAGGACTAGTGGAAGGCGGGAGACCAAGAACCTGCTGAAGGAGCGGAACGAAGTACGGCCGAGGCCGCGCAGCACCGCCAGAGACAGCAGGGACAGCACCAACACCTCCAGAGGCAGCACCAGCACCAGTAGCAGCTCCAACTCCAGCACCACCAGCAGCTGCAGAAGTACCCGCAGTAGGACCGACAGTCGTAGCCTCAGCGCCAGCACCCGCAGCAGCTCCAGCTCCAGAGGCACCTCCGGGCCCGGCAGCTCCAGTACCCTCAGTACGAGCACCTCCGGGACCCGTGGTACCAGCTCCCTCGGAAGCAACGGAACCTCCAGCACCCGCAGTACCCCCAGCTCCAGCAGCTCGCCTCCAGCGCCGGGCAAACCACTCACGCAGCTCCAGAGGAGAGAGCGGCTCGCGGCGTGAGGAACGGTCTGGAGAACCACCAGGAACAGAAGCAGCAGGCGCAGCACTCCCAGACGCAGTACCCCCAGGCTCATCACCCCCAGGCACAGCACCCCCAGGCTCAGCACCCCCAGGCTCAGTACCCTCAGGCTCAGCACCCCCAGGCTCAGCACCCCCAGTCTCAGCACCCCCAGGCTCAGTACCCCCAGGCTCAGCACCCCCAGGCTCAGCACCCCCAGTCTCAGCACCCCCAGGCTCAGCGCCCCCAGTCTCAGCACCCCCAGTCTCAGCACTCCGAGGCTCCGCACCCGCAGCAGCACCAGAGTCACCAGTGACCTCGACAGGTTCGACCGCGTCTACCTGAGACACACCTGAAGGGGCAGGACCCTGAGGGGGGAGGGGGTCTACCGGGGGGGACCTGGGACCAGGAAGAGGGGCGGGGGGGGAAGGGACGGAGTGCGGTAGGGGAAGAGCCGGTAGAAGGGAACCGGCTCGTCGAACGTGACGTCCTGGGAGGACAGAACACGACGAGAGGTGGGGTGGTAAAACTGCCACCCAGGTGCGTCAGGGGGGAAACCCAGGAACACGCAAGGAGCAGCACGAGGGGACAGCTTGTCCGCAGACAAGTCGCGGACAAACGCCCGAGATCCCCAGACACGGAACGCCGACGCATCGCTAACCTTCCCTGTCCACAGCAAAGCTGGGGAGGTCTCCGGTCTGGAGACCCTGGGCTGAAGGTTGATCTGATGCGCGGCGTACCGAACCGCAAACGGCCACAGAAAATGGGGGGCAGCCGCATGCACCATGGACGTACGGGCGACGTCCATGACAATGCCGATGCGGCGCTCAGCAATCCCATTCTGCTGTGGAGAGTCCGGAAGCGTGAAGGTCTGGCGGATGCCTCGTGCCCGACAGTAGGCTCGCAGAAGGCCGGAGGAGAACTCTCCGCCTCTGTCCGAGTGCAGACGCAAAACAGGAAAGTCCGAGCTTAAGCTCCGCCTGAGCTGGAGACGAGCTGCGCGGATCCAGTCGATCAACACCTCAGTGACCTCACCCTTGCTGCGCAAGGGGAAGACTGTGGTGTAACGCGAGTAGTCGTCAACCACCAGCAGGAAGTAGCGCTCGTGACCCTGTCCACGGACAAGGGCTGGGCCCCACACGTCCATGTGAAGCGTCTGCATCGGGGCCTCCGTCGGAGGAAACGGGGAAGAGTGAGGGGTAGCCCGCAGGCGACCCTCGACACAGGGGACACAGGGAGGGCCAGGCCCCGGAGGAAGGGGAGGGAGGGACCGGGGAAGGCCAGAGACAAGAAGGCGAGAGGCCATGCCCCGGAGACGAGGCAGGGAGGGGTGACCCATCCTGTGGTGCCACAGGAGGGTCTCGTGGGACAGGAGGCGACACGAGCAGGGGGCAGACTCAGGACCAGACCTGGACGCTGCAGCAAACACCTGACCCGACGCAGCTACCTGACCAGACGCAGGAGGAGGAGACGGAACAGTGAGTGTGTACAGGCTCGACCCCGGCCCACGTGTGAACGTGGTCAAGTGTCGACCCGTGTCCGCGTCCGTGCAGTGGGTGTCCCGTCGGCGTGCAGGGGTGAACTGGTCGACCCCTGCATCCTGTAGGTCAGCACCCGCCACCAAGTTCGTAGAGAACGAGGGGAGGTAGAGACCGGACAGGGCGCCAGACGGGACCGCAGGGCACGGCAGGACAGTGGAGTAGCGAGCCAGAACAGGACCCCCAGAGGGGTCCGCCAGGGAGACCGCCACTGGCCGACTAAGCGGTGTGAGTGTGGTGCGGTCTCGAAAGAAGGAGCGAGACGCCCCTGAGTCAAGAGTGAAGGTGAGAGAGGGCGGAGCCGACGCAGTACCTGAGAGAGCAGACTCACCAGCACCTGAGGATACAGACTCACTGGCACCTAGAGCGACAGCCTCACCAGCACCTGGAGCAGCAGCCTCAACAGCACCTAGAGCCGCAGTACCAATGCCTGGGTCGGGCGGGAAACACCGGTAACAGTCACCCTCCTCACTAATAGTCACAGCATACATGGCAGCAAGAATAGCATCAAATTCAAGATCAAAGATAGCTACTCCTGCCCTAGACAGCTGGTCCCAGCGAGGGATCTCAGAGGCGTCAGGAAACTGGCGGCGCCAAGCGTCAGTCAGGCGGCCGAAGCAGCGCTGGGCGGAGTGTTGACCACCACACGGCTCACCCGCACGGTCGCCAGTGCGCAAGACGTAGGTGCACGGACCAGTACCCCCACCCCTCTGACGTGCAGTGTACCACTCACGGAGCTGCTGTGGGGAGAGGGTCTCCTGACCACGCTGCTGCCGCTGCTGCTGGCGCTGACCCCCACCGGAGCCACTCCTCTGCGACGAGCCACGACCTCCTCCGCCGCCTCCTCCGCCGCCGCCGCCACCACCTCCGCTGCCACCGCCACTCCCACCGTCGCTGCCGCCACCGCCGCCTCCACCTCCACTCCCACCACCACCGCCGCTGCCACCCCCGCCTCCACTGCCGCCGCTGACACCTCCACTCCGGCCACCACTCCCGCTACCACCCCCACCTCCTCCGCTGCCTCCACCGCCGCCTCCACCGCCCCCGCCGCCGCCACCACCGCTCCTGCCCCCCTTGCCCTTACCAGAGCGACGTCTCCCACTGGGGGCAGACGCCGCGCCGACCGACTCAAAACCAACTAGGTCGGCCGTAGCAGCAGAGGCGACAGAGGGCAGGAGGGGGGAGGGGGAACACCCCTCAAAGATGGGGGTGCGCGGGTCACCACGAGAGGCCCCTACAGCGAGAATGCTCTTCTCGGCTGCTAGGAGGGACTTCTCGAGGAGGTCAACAGTGAGAGTGGTGGGGCAGACTGAGAGTAAGTTGTCCCTGACTCCGCGAAGGGAGTCAGGGAGGCGGGCGACAATGTAGTAGAGAGAGAAGTACTGGGGGGGGGGGTTCTTGGCGCAGAACTCAGCAGGAAGCGCAGCGCGGAAGCGAGCGTCACTAGTGCGCAGGTGGGTAATGAGGTCGGCGACTGTGGCAAAGGAAGCAAGGTCGGGAAAGAGGTACGGTAGCATGAGGCGGCTCAGTGCAGCAGTGGCAGGGGTGGAGTAGCGTGCAATAACGGCGTCGTACAAGGTCTGAGCACTCTTGTACGACCCAAAGTGTGCACGCTCAGAGGGAGGGAGGTGGCGACGCACAGCAAGACGTGCAGCAGCATCGCGTGTGGCCCACACTGAGCGAACAGTGGCATCCTCAGTAGCAGCAGGGGCGGGAGAGGCACCAGAAGTGAGATCAAAGAGAGAGAGGCCGTCAGCTCTGTCGCAGTGTAGGAAAAGCAGCAGGTCGTCTACCCACACGTCAAAGTCTATGGCTCTGCCCTCAGCGTCGAAGGTGAGGACACTGGGGGTAGCCATGACAGCAGTAGGGTGAGGGCAGTGCGCAAAGTAAAGCTCAGTGCTCACCAGACAGGGCAGTGCAGACGGCTCGGGCGGCTCGGGCGGCTCGGGCGGCTCGGGCGGCTCGGCGACTCGGCTGCTGGGCGGCTCGGGCGGCTTGGCGGCTCGGGCGGCTCGGGCGGCTCGGCTGCTGGGGCGGCTCGGCTGCTGGGGCGGCTCGGCTGCTGGGGCGGCTCGGTTGCTGGGGCGGCTCGGCTGCTGGGGCGGCTCGGCTGCTGGGGCGGTGCAGTTGCTGGGGCGGCGAGGCCGGGAGATGCAGCTGCGGGGCCGTTAGGGGTAGTGGCGGGGCCGGTAGGTGAAGCGGCGGGGCTGTCAGGTACAGCAGCGGGGCCGGCAGGTGAGACGGCGGGGCCTGCAGATGAGGCGGCGGGGCCGGCAGGTGCAGCAGCGGGGCCGTCAGGGGTAGCGGCGGGGCCGGTAGGTGCAATGGCGGGGCCGTCAGAGGGGACGGCGGGGCCGTTAGGTGCAGCGGCGGGGCCGTCAGAGGGGACGGCGGGGCCGTCAGGTGCAGCGGCGGGGCCGTCTGAAGCAGCAGCGGGGCCGGCAGAGGGGACAGCGAGGCCGTCAGAGGGGACGGCGGGGCCGTCAAGTGCAGCGGCGGGGCCGGCAGAGGGGACGGCGGGGCCGTCAAGTGCAGTGGAGGGGCCGGTAGAGGGGACGGCGGGGCCGTCGCAGGCGATCGCGGGGCCGTCAGAGACGGCGCCGGCGTCGCGAGGGTCAGAGGGGGCGGCGCGCGACTGGAGGGCGGCACGCGCGACGCGGCGCGGCCGTCTAGGGGCGGCGCGACGAGGCCGCGTAGGTGGCGCGCCAAAAAAATCGCGGGCGGTTCGACGCGATCGGGCCGCCAAAGGAAAAAAAAAAGGCCCAGCGCGACTCGGGCTAGGGCAGAGCGTGCTCCGGGCAGGACGGAATAGTAGGTGGGCCCTAAGAACAGTTCCCACTAGGGAACCTGCTCGATACCATGATGAGATAGAGGAGAGGAATGAGTGCACTTTGAAATGAAACAAGTACAAGTACCAACCCTAATTGGGTTGTACCCCCTATGGGCTACCCCACTACAGCCTAAATATATGCATCAGTAATATAATCATCTGACAGAACCGATCATTTGGCACGAAGCGATCTGCACCACCCACGACCGCCGACCCGATGGATATCGACAAGATCGACGCGAAGCAGCGGCCCACAAAATATGAGAGGTGCGAATTTTGCGGCGCAGCAGGACATCGACTCTTGGCGTGTTGGAAGTTGAAGATAGTACGAGCGGAGCTGCAGGGCAACAACAGTGCAACATCCACGATGGCGAAAAAAGGAGGACACTATGGCGCGAATTTAAAACGCCACGACCGGCCGGCAACAGAGGAAATCGCCGAGACAAATGGAGGCTCCGCGAAACAAGATTCTGCACCGACCGGGAAACTCCAGCCGAACACCCCCGAGAGTAAGAATATTCCCTCTCGAGGTTTTCAAGCCTTTAGAAAATTCAGGGGAGATTTCAAGGCCAAGAAAAAGCCTTCAGACAATATTCAGGTACCTGCGAAGTTGGGCAAACCACTCCGGAGCGTTGAAAAGGGTCGTGCGTTCCAAGGAGTTCATATTCTCTCCCCGCAGCATAGTGTTAAGGCTCCCAATTGCCCACAGGTGAAGCCTACACAGCAACAAAGGCTTAAGAGAAGGTTCCAGGCCAAGACGAAGCTGAATCGGCCTCGGATAAATCCTTCTAACCCTGCTCAGTTCGAAACTGAAATGGAATCAGCAGCTTCGATCACAGAACCGAGGGATGATCTTTTCGACGTACCCTACGATCCTATAAGCGAGACCATCTACGGTTACTCGGAGCGGCAACAACCACTATTACTCGAGGTGATCTGCAACGGGCGACGCCTCAAGGCACTGGTGGACAGCGGTGCGTCTCATTCGGTGTGTGACCGCGGGACGTTGGAGAAAATTGGAGAATTTCCGGAAGAGACCAAGTTCTCGGCAACAATGGTGGACGGTACGAAACTTCCCATCCACGACGAAGCATCACTGCAGCTGCACATAGGGGCGCTGAGGTGGAAGCCGACGTTGCCGATCACGAACATCAAGGGTTTAGATTTCATCTTGGGGCGAGATTTCCTGAAGCGGTTCAACCCCGAGATCGATTGGGTCAACAGGAAGGCGCGCATCTACAACAACGGGAAACGAGTGGAGCTGCGAAGCTGGACGGATACAGGGAGCGTTCCTGAAACGACACTGACACGGTTCGAACGGACTGTGAACGAGAGTACCACGGGATACTTCGCACTGGTTATGGCAGCAGCAGAGGAGGAGAAGCCGAGTTCGGAGCTACCTGCAGCAGTGAAGGAGGTCTTGGAGCAGTACAAAGATATAATGCACGACGACCTACCCGCAGGCGTACCTCCAGCACGCACCCACGAGCACGAGATCGTGGAGGAACCAGGTGCGAAACCCGTCTCACGTGCACCATACCGACTAAGTCCGACCGAACTGACAAACATGAAGAAACAGATAGAATATCTACTGGACAGACAACTGATCCGCCCATCCACCTCTCCCTACGGTGCACCAGTCCTCTTCACTCCAAAACCAGACGGCAGTCTAAGGATGTGCATCGACTACCGCGCACTGAACAAACAGACGGTAGAAAACAAATACCCCATACCGCGCATCGACGACTTACTGGACCAACTGCGTGGTGCAACAGTCTTCTCGAAGCTGGACCTACGGTCGGGTTATTGGCAGATCAAGATGGCAGACAACTCGGTCCACAAGACGGCGTTCCTTACCAGATACGGCTCCTACGAATACTTGGTGATGCCGTTCGGACTCTGCAACGCACCAGCAACGTTTCAGGCGGAGATAAATCACATCTTACGACCCCTGCTGGACGAGTGCGTGGTTGTGTACCTGGACGACATTCTTATCTACTCCAAGAACATGATAGAGCACGTGGAGCATCTGCGGAAGGTGTTCGAGATCCTGCGGAAAAACAAGTTCTACGGAAGCTGTCGAAGAGCGACTTCGCCCTGAAGAAGGTGCAGTTTCTCGGGCACATGGTGAGTGCCAAGGACGTACACGTGGACCCGCGGAAAATCGAAGCCGTCAAGAAATGGAAAGTACCGGAGAACGTGAAGGAGTTGCAGCAGTTCCTAGGCTTCGCCAACTACTACAACAGGTTCGTGCCGCAGTACGCTAAGATAGCAGCGCCACTGACCGACCTACTGAAAAAGGATACGCCCTACAAATGGGATACGCCTCATCAGCAAGCCATGGAGCAGCTACAGACAGCACTAACTACAGCGGCAGTACTCATCCTACCAGATCCAGACAAGGACTACGTGGTGGAAGCAGACGCTAGTGACCAAGCAGTCGGAGCAGTACTGATGCAGGATCACGGACGCGGTTTGCAGCCCATCGCCTACCTCAGTAAGAAGCTACACGGAGCAGAACTGAACTACCCCATCCATGACAAGGAAGCCTTAGCGATCGTCATAGCCCTCAAGGCGTAGAGGTGTTACCTAGAGGGAGCGAAGACTACAGTCTATACTGACCACTGCAGTTTCAAATACCTGAAGTCGCAGCCAACGCTCTCACGACGACAGGTGCGGTGGGTGGACTTCCTGGAAACTCACTTCCACTACGACATCGTCTACAAGCCCGGGCTACACAACAAGGCAGACGCGTTGAGCCGCCCCGGACATGTAGCAGGCATCCAGCTCAACGGGATGAACCCTCTGCTCAAGGGTCTATTCCAACATGGGTACTCCGTGGACGCAGAGATTGCTACAGCATAGACCAAGAAGCTGTTACAGTGGGAGAAAGACTTAGCTGTAAGGAAGGGTTCAGGAAAGATTTGGGTACCAAATTACGCCCCGCTACGGCAGATCATATTGGAGGAGTTTCACGACGTACCTTACGCGGGACATTTCGGGAGCAACAAGACATTAGCAGGGATAGCGAAGCATTACTACTGGCCCGGGATGGCAGCAGACGTGCAGCAGTTTGTCACCTCATGCGACACATGCCAGCGGATGAAGAGCAGCAAGCAGAAAAAAGCAGGGTTACTTCAGCCTCTACCTGTACCGGAGCAGCCATGGCAGGTCGTTAGCCTCGACTTTATCACAGGACTTCCTTCGACCTCACGGGGGCACAATTCCATCCTCGTAGTCATCGATAAGTTCTCCAAAATGGGTCACTTCATACCGACCAACGCCACAGCTACAGCTGAAGCAACTGCTCGCCTCTTCTTCGACCGCATCATCACTATCCACGGCATCCCCGCTACACTCATCTCAGACAGAGACCCAAAATTCACTAGTAAGTTCTGGAAGGAGCTCATGGGACTGTTGGGGACAAAGCTTGCAATGTCTTCAGCATACCACCCCCAGACTGATGGACAGACTGAGCGACTCAATCAAGTGGTGGAACAGTTACTGCGCACAGCTTGCAAGGACGACGTCAGCCACTGGGACACACAGTTACCGACCCTAGAGTTCGCTTACAACAACGCATCACATGCGGCCACAGGAAAAACTCCTTTCTTCCTATGTTACGGACGGGAACCACTCACACCACAGCAGCCAACCATGACTTCGTCACCACCATGCAGCAGCTATGGGAGAAGACTCAGCGACGACTCACCACGATGCAGACCTCCAAGAAGCAGTATGCCGATCGTCAGCGACGTGATCACTCAGTAGCAGTCGGAGATCAGGTGCTTCTTGACACGCGCAACTTGAACCTGTCTCACCTTCCATCCAAACTCCGGCCTCGCTTCTGTGGTCCTTTTCTCGTTGAGACACAGGTGACACCAGTTACATTCCGCTTGCGCTTACCCGATGCATGGAAGCTTCACAACGCTTTCCATGTCCAGCTACTGAAGCCCTACAAGGACCCCAACCAACAGTTCCAGGGACCGCAGCTTCCGCCACCTCCTCCTGTTCTCATCCAGGATGAACCTGAATATGAAGTGGAGCGCGTTCTTTCTCATCGACGCCGCGGCGGCAAGACCCTCGAGTTCCTGATACGCTGGAAGGGTTATGACCCCACTGAGGACAGTTGGGTTGTAGAAGCTGATATGGGCAACGCACGACGTGCTCTCAAGGATTATCTTGTCAAGCAGGGTGTATCTCACGCCACCCAGCTTTGAGGGGGGGACGTGTGAGATTACGTCGGCTTATACTTGTTATTCATGCTTGCTATTATTTCCTTACGCTATTCCTAGCTTAGGATTATTTTCTGCATGCATGAATTGCTTGATTTCCTAGGTTCGTTGCTATACTATAGTTATTATAGTTATAGGCACCGAACCAGGTTACGTGCACCGAACTCAAGCTATTCGGTCGCCACCGAATCGCTTTTTGCCGAGTTCGGGAAGGTTCTGTTCGGGACGCTTCGCGACCCTCAGAACATTCGCGTAACACCTGGGTAACTGGCCTTGTGTCGAGCCTATATATAGCCTCGTGTTGTACCCAGGTGGATCATTCAATTCAAACTCTCTTTTCTGAGCTCGATCCTAGATCCTCACACACAGAACAAAGCACATTGCTCTCCGCTACTTCCTTGCTCGTGAGCTACAGCAGCGTGGACACTTGCGGCTTGCGTACGTGGCCTCTGAGGCCAACACTGCTGATGTTTTCACCAAGGCACTTCCGCCTTGTGATCATCAGCGCTTCTGCACTCACCTGGGTCTTGTCCCTGTCTTGCCTCACTTGCTCAACTCTTGACCTTACTTGTACTGTTACATATATATATATACATGCTCTTGCTTGTCTAGCCTTATATATACATATATATATATATGTACTCCTGCATGTGAACTGGCCTTGTGGCCTTCAACTTGTGCTCGGAATGCGTGGTGACTTTGTGATCCACCCTGAGCTTTGCTTTGCTTTGCTTGATTGGTCTAATGACCCCCTGTTCTCCCCCACTTTGCCTATGGGGGTGTGTCAGAACATTAT